TAGGAGGATTTTGACAAAGCATGAAATGGAACTCTGCAGGGTCATTCCTCCTTCTGTGTAAGATGCACAAATGGACAAAGTGACAGGACTGTCAGAACAGGAAGCTCTAATTAAAAAAAAAACAAAAAAAACAGAAGCACAGTATATACCTGAAAAAGTAAGTGCCTCTTGCAGCTGCTTTTTCTCTGTCCTAGTTAGAACAGCTGGGACCAGTTCATCACTGTATGGGTGTAACCCAAAACTGTGTATTCTATAGCCTTCCATGCCATTTCCCAGAAACTGTTATCAATAGACCATTTACACCCTCTGCCCAGAGCAGCCTGACTTCTCAGGCTATAAACTGGGTGTTAAGAGGCCTGTGAGATAGGAGGGTGCCCCCTGTCCTCACATCCATTGTGGAACTCCCCGCCCTGAGGGAGGTAATGGGCATTCCTGCCTGAACTGGAGGATATATAATCTTGGGGTCTTGGGACTTTTTTTAACCACTCATGTGATCCAGAGGAAGACCGCAGACCATCACTCTCAACCAGACTGCAGACCACTACTCTCAACCAGACTGCAACCACCACTCTCGACCGGACTGTGATCACCACTCTTGACCAGACTGCAACAGCACTCCCACCAACAGGTTTTCCCCTCTCCTTTTACTTTGGACTCAGGGGGCCCAACAAACACCACTCTGTTCATGCCCCAGGATGCTGGGTTATACATTTGGGTTTTGTGGGTTAAAACCAATTGTTTGTGTGTATAATCGTACTTATTGTATTATTTTATTAAATTGTTATTCTGACTTATAATTTCTCTTTTGAGTTGGGTTCATTTCCCCTGCCGGTTTACCTTTAAACCAGCACACTCTCTAACTGTATGACGGGTGTGTGAACTTTGCCTCATACACCTCTTACCTTCCGTAGTTCTGTTAAAGGCCCTTTTTCCCTGCCTCATGCCCTGGTTAAATAATATCACTGTTGCTAGGCTCAGAGATGTCACTAGTACATGGTATGGAGATGGCAGACAGTACTACGGCAGTAGAAGGTACCTTGACTTAGATGTAGAGCAGGAGAATGTTTGAGGAGCAGCAATGTGTTCTGTTCAAAGTTATTACACTCATATTGGCTAACAATAGGAGCAAGACTGTTTTAGTGGATGTCAAGGCTATGCATAACAACCTGAACAACTGTGGCATCAGGGAAGCCCATAAATACCCTTAGGTTTTATTCTACACATGAATTGAGAATTGGGTCCTCCACAAACAACTTCTGAGGATTCTGCAGCATCAGAACTCCCTTCTATCTCTGCTACAAAGGCAATCAGAGAACCCAGCAAAAAAACCCCATTAGCATTATTTTTTTTTTCCTCTTTTTGTTGGGCACAAGACACGCTTTTAGTGGAGCCAAGGATACCTGATGGGGTAGAAAAAACATCCACATCACTCTTTCCCTCCTCTCTTCCAGTCAGTGAATCAGTGCTGGAGTTAAGGGAATCTACATGCTCTTTATCCTTCCAGCTGCAATCAAAACATGACTGTACAAAATGTGGTGTTAAACAACATGGTAATCTTTTTTCAGGGTTAAAATTCATGTAAAAACTAAATGTCATTGGCTGTTTAATCTATCTTTTAGGCTGCCGTTCAGATAATCAAAGGCTAAAAAGCATTACTTATGCTGACTGAACGCAGGGCAAATTTTACTGACCTGGTATTGGCTTTAAAATCATACCAGATACCAGGACTTATAGAAGAGTAACTTTTTAATAAACAAGTTAATACCTGACAGCAAACTTGCTAGGCATCCAAGTTTCTGCTCTGGAACCTGGGTTACTGTTCAACTTGGGTTACTAAAAGCTCACGTTGTCTATCTTGTAGTTTGCAGACAGCACGGCTGTTTTAGGCGATGCTTCTGAAGCTGAAGGACACAAATATGTCCTGCTTGGGTTGGGTCCAGGTAAAACCAGCAGGTCTGTTTGACCACAGCTTATATGTAACACAGGATAGTAAAGGAGAATGTTGTCTGTCTTCATCGCTCCAAAATATTGATTGAAACATTGATGTTTTATTGCTGTAGTTAGGCTCGCAGCTTTTATGAGTTAATAACTACACTCTTTTTTGAAATACCCAGGAGTTTAGAGCAGAAATTACAGCTGTTTTGAGCTTTAAAAAAATGATTCAAATTTTTCATGCATATAATCTTGGTTTTTCCTGGGTGATGCTGCATTTTGATAAATTGTGTAGATTAAGCAGGTGCCAGAGGACCAGAGGTGAACATCAGATAGTATTTCCACCAGCTCTGGCATGTTTTAGAGTAAAAGAAGATATTACAAGAGTAGCGCTATAAAATCACAGAATCACAGAATCAATTAGGTTGGAAAGGACCTCTGGGATCACCAAGTCCAACCTGTGACTGAACACCACAATGTCAACTAGACCATAGCAGTAAGTGCACATCCAGTCTTTCCTTAAACACCTCCAATGAGAGTGACTCCAACCCCTCCCTGGGTCACCCTTTCCAATATCTAATCACTCCTTCTGTGAAGAATTTCTTCCTAATGACCAACCTAAACCTGCCCTGGTGCAGCTTAAGACTATGTTCTCTCATTCTGTCACTAGTTGCCCAGAAGAGGCTGACCCCCACCTGGCTACAGTCACCTTTCAGGTAGCTGTAGAGAGCGATAAGGTCAGCCCTGAGCCTCCTATTCTCCAGCTTAAACAACCCCAGCTCCCTGAGCTACTACTCCTCATTGGACTTGTGCTCCAGACCCTTCACCAGCTTCACTGCTCTTCTCCAGACCTGCTCCAGCAGTGTCCTTCCTGAACTGAGACACAGAACTGGACACAGTACTCGAGGTATGGCCTCACCAGTGCAGAGTACAGGGGCAAATGATATATCCGAACTAGAAATAGCAGCTTAGAAGTGAATCACACTCACGAATAAAGAGTTTGCTCAGAAACGCCTGGAGAGGCGAAGGACGTGAAAAGTTTTAAATGCCGGGAGCAATAAATGGTAAATTCCTAGGAGTTTTTAGCAGCTGCCAATTAAAGGGCCAGGAAGGCAGCCCCAAAACCGGCCGGGTGCTCCAAGCTCCCC